AAGTCAAAAAGACGGCTGTGAAAATATTTACAGACCCCTCACATCCCAGACATAAACTGTTTCAACTCCTTCCCTCAAAACAACGCTATAGAGCACCGCACACCAGAACAACTAGACACAAGAACAGTTTTCCCCCGAAAGCCATCACTCTGCTAAACAAATAATTTCCTCAAAACTGTTCAACTATTTACAAAGTGTACACTATTACTGCTAATCTTCTTATCACTCCTTATCACCCATCCCCTCCTACTTGACTGTTTCCTAGTATGATTTGATTGTTGATTGTACCCTATGACTATCATTAAGTGTTGTACGTTATGATTCTTGATTCTTAATGAATGTACCTTTTCTTTATGTATACTGAGAGTATTTACACCAAGACAAATTCCTTGTGTGTTCAATCACACTTGGCCAATAAAGTATTCTAACGATGTTCTAATGATGTTCTAAAACTTCCATTGTTGGAGCATTTACAACTTCTGGAGGCAAGTTGTTCCATTGATTAATTGTTCTAACTGTCAGGAAATGTCTCTTTAGCTCTAGGTTGCTTCTCTCCTTGATTCGTTTCCACCCATTGCTTCTTGTCCTGCCCTCAGGTGCTTTGGAGAATAGTTGGACTCCCTCTTCTTTGTGGCAGCCCCTGAGATATCTGGTATCATGTCTCCCCTAGTCTTCTTTTCATTAAACCAGACATACCCAGTTCCAGCAATTGGAACAGTTCCAGTTCCCAGTTTCCTATATTTTAGCCTCCAGTCCTCTAATCATCTTGGTTGCTCTTCTCTGCACTCTTTCTAGAGTCTCAATATCTTTTTTACATTGTGGCGACCAAAACTGGATGCAGCATTCCAAGTGTGATCTTCTTAACTGAATCCAACTTCCTCCACTGATTTTGATGATCAGAAGCCAGCTGAACCACAAATAGAGATCATGTGACCCCGAGATATTGCAATAGTCATAAACGCACACATCTATTGCCAAGTGCCAGAATTTTAATTACGTTGACCACAGGAATGCTGCCATGGTTGAAAACATGAGGACAGATCTTAAGTCAACTTTTTTCAGTGCTGTTGTAACTTTGAACAGTTGCTAAACAAATGGTTGTAAATCTTCCTATATATCCCCCCCCCCAAAAAACACAAACCAATGGGAGCTAACAGGGCCTAGCTGTGTTTCAAAACCAAAACTCTTACGAAACACACTTTCCCTCCAATTCCAAAAGAAATCTCTATTTTCTCTTCGGAAAATATAAATGCTATGTAAATCAACCATGCCAGACCCCCATTGAAGCTTCTAGCCTTGTCTGTTTGCCTTTCTAAACCTATCTGTTGCTCACAAAGAGACCTCCTGAGAAACAGGATAGACCCCACTCTCATGCCTTTTCATTCTGCAGAATCCCAGATGTTTTATGATACTTTGAATTCCCAGGCAGATGGAGCACTTAAAGATTAAACAGAGGAGACGTGGAAAAGGGGAGGGGGGAACCCAGATGTATGGTAATCCTAGATTGTATTAGATGGCACACTGTGCCTTTTGCACACTGCAAGGTGAATTTGGGAAAGCAAGACTTGCAATAAATCACACATGTACACCAAAATTATAACAACCTCTTGAACCTCCTGAATATTTAATGAATAAATTGTAACTAGAGACATAGCAATGAGGCACATCGTGCCAGATTAGGGATGGATCAAATAGCCATGTGAGATTTCACTCCATTTTTCATGTTTGTAAATTGAAGTTTGGCTCATTTGTATGAAATTGAATGAAAATCTATGTGGATTATCATATTGTTACCTTCTTGTATATACCATTGTACAGTATATGCATTATTGTAATGTACACATATTTCCTATTCCATCATCTAAGGTCTATTATTTTTCACTGACATATACTTTCTGGATATATTTTCAGGGGTGGGCTGCTGGGGGTTTGCAGGGGTTTGGGAGATCCTCTAGCTAAGATTCTGCCAGTTTGGAGAACCCCCAAATCCCACTCCTGGCTGGCCCCACCCACTCTGCCCCGCTCCTCTCAGGAGTCCCCACAAGGCCCATTTTGGATGCAGCTAAGTGCAAGGTGCACACGGAGAATCAGGGAGGGCAAAAATGGGCCTCCTGGAAGTTTGGGAAGGCCAGAAATAGGCCAGTTTCTGGCTTCCAGAGGCCTCCGGAGCCCAGAGAGGGCAAAAATGACCCCCTGCCATGGTGCAGGTGGCTGACTAGGCCATGCCCACAATGGCCATGTCCACCTAGCAAGTGGGCAGGGAACCCGTTGCTAACATTTTTGAAACACACCCCTGTATATTTTTAATTGAAAGACTACATAACCAAAACTTTAAGAGTCCAAATATTAAAAAATAATCTATTTTCATTTCAGATGGAAGTCTGAATTAGCAAGTTCATTTTAAAATGCGATCCAATTGAATCCCTTTTCTCCTATTTCTCATAACAATACCAGATAAATTTAACTGATTCTGGAGCATAGGATAATTTTATCTGAAATCTGAAAGTCTGCCGCAGGTTTGATTTGTAGAATTCAGTTAAAACAAAATGTCTTTACACAACATACAATTACTAAATCTATTAAACTGGCATATTTGAACATTTCCTATTCAAACAATTAACTAAAATGCTGTCAAGAATACAGATGACTTAATTTTACATTTAAAACCAAATCAGGAATATGTACAACACTATATCAGGCAAGCTGAATGTCATTACAAGAACATTGAACCTATCTTGTTGCAAGACGTATAATTATTGAATTATTTTTTCCTCAGAATGTTTTCACATTTCAGTGGGGCAGAATGCACTAGGAGCTGCCCTATTAACTCTTGTCTAAACAGGTTATTGATGTGCAGGAGAAATTATAACTGGGATTTATCTGAAGACTCCAAAATTATTCTTTACTCCATTATGTTAATGTGTGGGGGTGAAGAACAGCAAAATCTGACACTGAAATAGAAGAAAATGACTAGGCTAGGAATAATACTTATTGTGTTTATGGCAAACTGGATTGGTTGGAAGATTTAAGCAGGATAGGAGCAGTTATTTATAGTCACCGTTAAAAATTTAGCTGTAATCTGAGGATTTTCATCTGCAAGTAAAATAAATGTTTATGTACTCAGATGTATTTTTTCCTTGTTTAGATTTTAAAATAGGCCAGATAACTTCTTGCCAAAGACTCTAATAACATTCACAATATAATACTTTTTTTCTTTTTAAATGTTTAAATATGGTTATAAAGTCAAGGTTTTCAGCAACATATCAGTAAATTGGGATTTTAAGTACATCATGTAATATTTATGAAACATTTTACTTGCTAAATTGTTATGTCTAATACCAAGTTTAGATTGCATTTGTATCTTGTTTTTGGTCTTTTGGCCATAAATAAAATTGATTGAAGTTTGGAGTAGTTATTTCTGGACCAAAATAGTTACAGCACATTTAAGATGGATGTGTACATTTTGTTAAGCCATACAAAAAGCACATTTGGGTGTGGTGTGGTATTCTGAATGAACTCGCTCACTGAGCTTTATAAATCCTGCTTTATGGCTTAATAAATTGTAGGAGGCCAGCAAGTCTGGTTTATAAACATGGTTTATAGCTTAGCGTGTTTTGTGAATCAGCCACTGTGATTTATTCAGCAATCTATCAGCTAAATAAACTAGGCTAAGCATGATGTGTGAACCCAACTCAATCACTGCTTTTTTTCAGAATGAAAAGATGGCAGTTTGTGATTTGTTCATTCAGAATTAAGACTGTGTAGGATATATTTTTAGCATGATAGTCAAAATTGTGTAAATATCTTTTCAGTCTCTTTCCCCTTAGACAAAAGTATTTAAAAAAAAAAAAGAGTTCAGTGATCCTGTCTATGGAGTTTCTCAGTCATCCAGGTCATGGTTGTCTCAAAGGTGGTTTTTAAAGAGGCAATTGGACTTTCTTATTTTTTTTTCTTTGAAAACGTTTCGCTTCTCATCCAAGGAGCTTCTTCAGCTCTGACTGGATGGTGGGGAATGGAAGGATTTATATGGAAGTCAGAGGTGAAGAAGCTTCTTGGATGAGAAGCAAAATGTCTTCAAAGAATAACTAGAAAGTCCAATTACCTCTTGAAAAAGCACCTTTAAGTTCAGTGATCCTGATTTCAAATTTTTTTGGTCAGAACTGCAAGTAACAGGCCAGTTTTTCCTTGTTTTCCCCAAGATTAATGGTTTTTAAAATAAAGGATAATTAATGAACTTATCTAAATGTGTTAGATATTATGATGGTTGGTTAATTGATATGCCAAGGGAAACCAAACAAATTTTATTTTATTTTATTTTATTTTATTTATATTGCCGCCTATTCGCCCATGGCGACTTGAGGCGGCTTACACAATGTAAAATCATATTTAAATCAAAAAATAAAAATAAAAACAATAAAAACTAACAAAAAGAATCAAATAAATTAGTGAAGTACAATAGAACAAAATTTGGGAAACCCCCCCCCCCAAAAAAAACCCCACAGAAATTCAAAAACCAACTCCCATTCCCCTCCCTGACGACAGCAGATCACACTAGGCACCTGATGGGCTCCATCCCTCTCTGGGTTCCCCAGGCCTGCTGGCAAAACCAGGTCTTCAGTACCTTTCAGAAGAGAGCTAAAGTGGGGGCCATTTTAATCTCTGGGGGAATGATGTTCCAGAGAGATGGAGCCACCACGGAGAAGGCCCTTCTTCTGGGTCCCACCAGGTATATCTCCCTCAGAGGTGGGACTCACAACATTCCCTGCCTCCTCGCTCTAATGGGTCGGGTGGATGTGACTGACAAGAGATGTTTCTTTAGATAACCCGGATTAATGGTTTTTAAAATAAAAGATAATTAATGAACTTATCTAAATGTGTTAGATATTACGCTGGTTGGT